ATCACCTACAATTATTGTTCTGGAAACACAGAGACTTATTTAGGCCCAACAGTGGGGAGTTCGCCTTGTAGGACATTTGAGCAGTACAGTATCCACGCACTTCCACACAAGTTAAGGTTTCTGTGCTAGAGGTATAGTTGCATACTGGATAATATCTAGGACTTATCCCCTATGTGGGTTTTCATGTGTCGAGATAAGGTGGACTTGTGAGCTGCCCTGTATCCACACTCATCACACATGTAGGGTTTGTCACCAGCATGCATTGCTAGATGTTTGTCCAAACTGGATTTCTGTGCTGCAGAATAGTCACATTGGTCACACTTGTAGGGTTTTCTCCTGTATGGGTTCTCATATGTCGGGATAAGGTAGACTTGTCAGCTGTCCTGTACCCACACTGCCCACACATGAAGGGTTTCTCGCCAGTGTGTTTTGCTTTATGTTTGTCCAAAGAAGATTTCCATGCTGCAGAATAGTCACACTGGTCACACTTGTAGGGGTTTTCTCCTGTATGGGTTCTCAAGTGTTGGAATAAGTGAGACTTCTGAGTTGCCCTGTACCCACACTCCCCACACATGTAGGGTTTCTCACCAGTGTGTTTTGCTAGATGTTGGAGGAGAGCAGATTTGTGTGCTGCAAAATAGTCACACTGGTCACACTTGTATGGTTTTTCTCCTGTATGGGTTCTTATATGTATGGATAAATTAAACTTTTGAGCTGTCCTGTATCCACACTCCCCACACATGTAGGGTTTCTCACCAGTGTGTGTTACTAGATGTTTGTCCAATGTAGATTTGAATGCTGCAGAATAGTCACACTGGTAACATTTGTAGGGTTTTTCTGCAGTATGGGTTCTCATATGTCGGGATAAGTGAGACTTGTGAGCTGCCCTGTACCCACACTCTCCACACATGTAGGGTTTCTCACCGGTGTGTTTTGCTAGATGTTGGTCCAGGGTAGATTTCTGTGCTGCAGAATAGTCACACTGGTCACACTTGTAGGGTTTTTCGCCTGTATGGATTCTCATATGCTGAGATAAGTGAGACCTGTCGGCTGTCCTGTATCCACACTCCCCACACATGTAGGGTTTCTTACCGGAGTGGTTTGCTACATGTTTGTCCAAAATTAATTTCCGTGTTGCAGAATAGTCACACTGGTCACATTTGTAGGGTCTTTCCCCTGTATGGGTTCTCATATGTCGGGATAAGTCCGACTTTCTAGCTGTCTTGTATCCACACTGCCCACACATGTAGGGTTTCTTACCAGTGTGTGTTACTATATGAGCATCTAAGGTACCTTTCCGTGCTGCACAATAGTCACACTGGTCACACTTGTAGGGTTTTTCTCCTGTATGGGTTCTCATATGCCGGGATAAGCTTGCCCTCACAGCTGCCCTGTATCCACACTCCCCACATATGTAGGGTTTCTCACCAGCATTATCCAGGTTGACTTGTGCTGCCGCCTGGTCTTTAGCATTGATTGTTTTGCTGTCGTAGTCGACCTTGAAAACTCCGTTGGGAGACACATCGCAGCAGTTCTGACCAACTCCGGTGGGAGAACCGTGTCCTGTTGTTGCCATGTTTACCCTAACAACAATAAAAATATATATATAACGGCAGTGAACCTTAATCCGACGCAATCTTAATCCGACACTTTTCAACACTCCTCTGTCTGTTAGGAACTAGCACTGATATGCAAAATCTTTTAATTGCTTTACAAACTCAATAAGGTACACAACCTAAAAACTTGAAACAGTGAGCTAACGAAGTCATCATGTTGTGGAGACGAGGTCATGAAAATTTTCAGCCTGTTTTACACTGGTGGGCATGTCGTGGGAGGAAGCTTCCGGAAGGACAGTGGTCAAAATATCGACAATTTCTCCTTTACATCCTCATGCTATACATTCAACGTCACAGCGAATAAAAAAAACAATTAATAAGGTGTGTGTTGCTGACAAACCACTTGCCTAGAAGTGTCCTTCTTTTTAAGCACAGAGCGAGTTCGTTATGGTCATTCAGCGGCCGATCGAACACGACCGCCATTTTGAATCCGAAATGTACTTGTTGTTGTTGTTGAAGACGATACCACTAGTCTGTACGTGGATGTGGCAAATCATCGCAACACTTGTATTATCGCCAAAATTAGTGACAAATACTTCGGAATAGTGCAGAATTAAGTTTTTTGACTGGTAACATTATTGTAAAATTCTTCAATTATTCCTTTCTTGGAACTAAAATGCCCCGCCGTAACTGATTCGAATGCGGTCCCCTTCTTTGTAAATTCAATAGTCCCAAGCCACGTGATTTGGTGTAGCGCTGCACCGCGGTGCACCGGCCTACCGACTTACGTTTGATGCCGTTGATAACTTGTATAAGTGTCTGTTGTTTGACAAAGGGATTGAGAAAAAAATGTTGTTGTGAATAGCAAAATTACAGGCAAACAGCTACACTGTTGCATGGCGTCGGATTAAGGTTTCGCTTAGAACAGAATACGCAGGACACGGTGAAATCGGGAGCGATGTTGAAGACGCAATTTTCCCGCGATATCTCAATGGTTGGGAGAGTGACACACACGTAGGTATGGCGTTAAAAACAGGCTACAAGATGCACTAAATGATTAACGAAAATACCGAATGTCTGGTTGTGGATTCATCATTCAATCTTGCTTGTGCATAAAAGTGTCGGATTAAGGTTCACTGCCGTTACAGGGGTTTTTCTAGAAAAATTTAGCATGAGGGAGCAGATCGCAAGCATGACAAAGAACGAAGCGACCGAGGGGGGATTTTTTAATAAGAGTAGCCACTTAGGGTTCAATCTGAAAATTGGTATGAGGGAGCTGGCTGGTTACATGAGGGAGCAGCTCCCTTATTCCCCTGTTTAGAAAAAAACCTGATTTATATATTAGGCTTGAAAAGCTGTCAATGGTAAAATTGGATTTGTGGAAAACAAGGTTCAAAGAGACACAACTTTACCAAGCTTTACAGTTTCAACCTAATATATTACAACGTAACCCAACATAATTCTAAGGTGTTGTCTTTCTCGCATTTGAATATATTCTATAATGTTTAAAATAACATAATAATTTGTGAGATCTTACAATCACTAACTCACTCACACCACCGAGCTCATTCAAAACATTTTATATCATTAATTACTTCTACAAATAATGGGGAGAATTGACTCCATTCGCTAGGCTGGAAAGAGAGTCGGCAGTATAGGTGTGGTCACAAGGCGCTTCTCTATTTAAGTGTTTACATATAGTACTGTTTTCATAAATCAGTTCTTCGCATTTCTAGATTTTGTAATGTACGCCTTATGCGATTCTTTACAATCCAGTTAACATTTCCATATAATTTCACGTACTCTAAAAAGACCACATTGCCTGATGCAGCATGACGTACTTGTCACGGCGGTCTGTCACTACGGCATTCTTTCCCATTGCTATGCGCGTTCGAAAAGGTATCGGGTTACAAGACGCTATTTTGGCCTGTTTTGGACTACCCGTAAAATATTTGAAAATAAACAAATAATATTTAGGCATAAATTTCGTCAAATTAAGATGAAATTATCGTCTTAACATCCTTTAAATGTTAGCTTTTTATGTTAAATCACTGATTTTTTTAAATTTCGCTTAAAAGACGATTATTTTCGGGTTTCCGGGCACAAGTCATGTCACGTTTTTAGGCAAACATCGTTCAAACCTGGCTACGTATATTACCCCAGATCCCCGATTTTTATATTTTTCACAGACTAGGAATAAGATCAAAAATCGTGTTTTAGGGATTTTTCAATTTCTGATTTTAAGTCTAGTTTTTGTCGACATATTGGTGAAAAAATAGCATTTTTTGACATTTTTCTCACTAAATTACCCATAATTCAAAATTGAGGCCATTTTTCAAAAATCCCTAAAACACGATTTTCGGGACAACCGTTACGGTCATTTTGAGCCGTAAATGGGGTATGTTTGACTCTCCATGTTTCCAGGTTTGAACGAGTTTTGGAGACATGTCATATTGCCAGAAAGTGTGCATTGTGTTATTCATACTGTCGTAAAGAGTCATTACAGTATTCAAGGTCACTCAAGGATACGACAGTAGCTTCGCTACATGTTACATGTCCACCATAAATAATAGCGGACATGTACTGTCAAGCAAAATATTTTTATCTATAGAAAAGTGTTGTTTTTTATCTGTTGCGAGGCACACAGGCAGAAGTGCTTGTTTTGCCGCTTTATAGTAAATGACCGCAGGTGACCCCGAAATAGAACGCGGGTTCGATTCGAATTGCCCAGATCGAACACGATCGAACACAGTTCGGGTTCTATGACATGTGGGAACTTTGCAGCCCAGATTTTACCACCGTGTGTACTAGTCGGTGGCGAGGATCGAACGTATGTATGGTTTCGCCCCCCTCCCCCTTGAATTCCACTATATTCAAATCCCAAAAATGCCTACAAATTATCGTCCTACTACGGTCGATCTTCCACAGAAGTGGTCCCAAGTTATTCCCCTCGACACCAGAATACTTTGCTGATCGTTTCTAAATCTCACCTGCTTCCTATTATGGTTTTTCTCTGCACGTAAACCGGAACTCGGGCAGGTTTTGTTTGTCCTTCTGTCGTCTCGTTAGGTCAAAGGTGAAGTTGTCTGCCTGATTACCGATGTAGTACATTTGACGTCAGATTGCACGTTACGTTTTAAACAGGCCTGGTTTAGATTCCTCATAATGTCAGCATTTCACAATTCAGACTACCTAAACCAGAAAAGAGACAAATTTGTAAAGAAATTAATGTAAAGCCAATCTGCATGGTCTAAATCTTAATTTTTGTGTTTTATTATCAACTCACCACCCCTGACAACATTCCATCCAAGGAAAAAAGGCAACACAGAAGGAAACATTGTGTTCAAGGTACATAGCGATTAAATTATCTGAGGCTTCTCTCAGAGCTTTGGTGTAGTCTCTAACAGGCTTTGCTCAGAGCTTTGATGTAGTCTCCAACAGGCTTCGCTCTGGGCTCTAGTGTACGTAGTCTCAAACAGGCTTCTCTCAGAAATGAATAAATATAATTCAGATATATCTCCAGTACTAAGTTTTTTTGACACCAGGAACATTCAAAGCGATCTTACTAGGATTGAACTTTTATTTATATTTTGAGATACTACATTTGTACAGGGAATGTCGATCAACATAACAAGTTGGTATTTCCAGATTTCCACATTTCTTTTACTTTCTTTCCTTACAAGTAGGAACGTGCAGACATTACAGAACGATATAAATAGACTCTTAAAAGAAATGACACGAAATCTCGATACCGCCTTCAAGATTTCTGCAGTTCTGCTGTGAATAATCAGACTTGTGTACAGTAATTATCAGCAGCTGCAATGCAGACTGATTCTGCCAGGAGGCGCTGTAGGTCTACAGTTGTATTATAGCCACTGACAAGTACACATCGCAAACTAACAAGGAGATGTCCCTTTTCTCATTTTTAATTGTCACCAATGTCTCAAGATTTCTTACCATATCAATGTACATTTTTGTAGGGGGCGTATTCACCGTTTGAATTACAAAACACTTGGAAATTCACTATGTATTGACACTCATGCTATACCCTGTCTATATATACAACATTATATAGACAGGGTTATAAACAGATCTCGAGTTCTGGGATTGACTGTGGTCCTCTCAAACATAGACACAGCAAATACAGTTATTGTTTCGATCCGGAAACACAGAGATATTTAGCTCCCAACAGTGGGGAGTTTGCCTTGTTGGACTTTGAGCTGTCCTGTATCCTAACTTTCACATAGATAGTTATATGCAACATTGTGTTTGTCCAAACTGGATTTCCGTGCTGCTGAATAGTCACACTGTTCACACTTGTAGGGTGTTTCTCCTGTATGGGTTCTCATATGTTAAGTCAGACTTGCGAGCTGTCCTGTATCCACACTCCCCACACCAGATGTTGGTCGTAATTCGATTTCTGTACAGCAGAATAGTCACACTGGTCACATTTGTAGGGTTTTTCTCCTGTATGGGTTGCTACATGTGTGGATGATTTGGAATTAACTGCCCTGTATCCACACTCCATATGTAGGGTTTGTCACCAGCGTGGTTCTTAATATGATTATCAAGAGAGGATTTCTGTGCAGCAGAATAGTCACACTGGTCACACTTGTAGGGTTTTTCTCCTGTGTGAGTTCTCATGTGTACAGATAAGTGACACTTGCGAGTTGCCCTGTATCCACACTCCCCACACATGTAGGGTTTCTCACCAGTATGCTTGACTAGATGTTGGTCTAAATTGTGTTTCAGTGCTGCAGAATAGTCACACTGGTCACACTTGTAGGGTTTTTCTCCTGTATGGGTTCTCAAATGTCGGGATAAGTGTGTCTTACGGGCTGTCCTGTACCCACACTCCCCACACATGTAGGGTTTTTCACCAGTATGTTTGACTAGATGTTGGTCTAAATCATATCTCCGTGCTGCAGAATAGTCACACTGGTCACACTTGTAGGGTTTTTCTCCTGTATGGGTTCTCATATGTACGGATAGGTGAGACTTGCGAGCTGTCATGAACCCACACTCCCCACACATGTAGGATCTCTTACAAGCGTTATCCATGATAACTTGTGCTGCTGCCTGATATTCAGCATCGCTTGTTTTGCTGTCACAGTCGACCTGACAAACCCCGCCAGGAGACCCATCAAAGCAGTTTTGACCAACTCCGGTGGGAGACCCATCACAGCAGTTTTGACCAACTCCGGTGGGAGACCCGTGTTCTGCCGTTGCCATGTTCAGCCTTATTGGAAAATAAAAAAATATCAAAAGCGTGATAAACTTAGGTTNCATTACATAATAATTAAGCAATCATTCAAATTTGCGACATTGCCTGCCGGCCAATTCTTAAATTCTTGGTTTTTTTTTTGTTAATTAACAAGCATATCCTACATGTACGGTAGCAAAACGATATTCATTGGTCAGAGAAGTGTCCTTTAGCTGTTTTGCCACAGCAGGATCTATTTCCTTGGAGATTAACTGTATGTTCAAGGTTCAAACTATGCTGTGCGTGCTAATTTCGTTACCGTCATAATGATTAAGATTTCAGCCATTCAAATATATATATATATATATATATATATATATATATATATATATATATATATATATATATATATATATATACTATACTACTATATATATATAGTACTATATATATATATATATATATATATATATATATATATATATATATATATATATATATATATATATATATATATATTAGGCGTTAAAAGCTGTCAATGGTAAAATTGGATTTGTGGAAAACAAGGTTCAAAGAGACACAACTTTACCAAGCTTTACAATTTCAACCTAATATATTACAACGTAACCCAGCATAATTCTAAGGTGTTGTCTTTCTCGCATTTGAATATATTCTATAATGTTAAAAATAATATAATAATTTGTGAGATCTTACAATCAATAACTCACTCACACCACCGAGCTCATTCAAAACATTTTATATCATTAATTACTTCTACAAATAATGGGGAGAACTGACTCCATTCGCTAGGCTGGAAAGAGAGTCGGCAGTATACGTGTGGTCACAAGGCGCTTCTCTATTTAGTGTTTACATATAGTACTGTTTTCATAAATCAGTTCTTCGCATTTCTAGATTTTGTAATGTACGCCTTATGCGATTTTTTATAATCCAGTTAACATTTCCATATAATTTCACGTACTCTAAAAAGACCACATTGCCTGATGCAGCATGACGTACTTGTACTAGTCGGTGGCGAGGATCGAACGTATGTATGGTTTCGCCCCCCTCCCCCTTGAATTCCACTATATTCAAATCCCAAAAATGCCTACAAATTATCGTCCTACTACTTTCGATCTTCCACAGAAGTGGTCCCAAGTTATTCCCCTCGACACCATAATACTTTGCAGATCGTTTTTAAATCTCACTTGCTTCCTATTATGGTTTTTCTCTGCACGTAAACCGGAACTCGGGCAGGTTTGTGTTTGTCCTTCTGTCGTCTCGTTAGGTCAAAGGTAAAAACAAAGAAGGTCAAAGGTGAAGCTGTCTGCCTGATTACCGATGTAGTACATTTGACGTCAGATTGCACGTTACGTTTTAGACAGGCCTGGTTTAGATTCCTCATAATGTCAGCATTTCACAATTCAGACTACCTAAACCAGAAAAGAGACAAATTTGTAAAGAAATTAATGTAAAGCCAATCTACATGGTCTAAATCTTAATTTTTGTGTTTTATTATCAACTCACCACCCCTGACAACATTCCATCCAAGGAAAAAAGGCAACACAGAAGGAAACATTGTGTTGAAGGTACATAGCGATTAAATTATCTGAGGCTTCTCTCAGAGCTTTGATGTAGTCTCCAACAGGCTTCGCTCAGAGCTTTGATGTAGTCTCCAACAGGCTTCGCTCTGCGCTCTAGTGTACGTAGTCTCAAACAGGCTTCTCTCAGAAATGAATAAATATAATTCAAATATATCTCCAGTACTAGACGTTTTTTTGACACCAGGAACATTCAAATCCATCTTACTAGGATTGAACTTTTATTTATATTTTGAGATGTACTGCATTTGTATAGGGAATAATGTCGATCAACATAACAAGTTGGTATTTCCAGATTTCCACAACATTTCTTTTACTTTCTTTCCTTCCAAGTAGGAACGTGCAGACATTACAGAACAATATAAATCGACTCTTAAATGAAATTACACGAAATCTCGATACTGCCTTCAAGATTTCTGCAGTTCTGTTGTGAATAATCAGACTTGTGTACAGTAATTATCAGCAGCTGCAATGCAGACTGATTCTGCCAGGAGGCGCTGTAGGTCTACAGGTGTATTATAGCCACTGACAAGTACACATCGCAAACTAACAAGGATATGTCCCTTTTCTCAATTGTCACCAATGTCTCATTAGATTTCTTACCATATCAATGTACATTTTTGTAGGGGGCATACTCACCATAACAGTTGGAAATTCACTATGTATTGACACTCATGCTATACCCTGTCTATATAAGCAACATTATATAGACAGGGTTATAAACAGATCTCGAGATCTGGGATTGACTGTGGTCCTCTCCAACATAGACACAGCAAATACAGTTATTGTTCCAATCCGGAAACACGAAGAGATATTTAGCTCCCAACAGTGGGGAGTTTGCCTTGTTGGACTTTTGAGCTGCCCTGTATCCTAACTTTCACGTGGATAGTCATGTGCAACATTGTGTTTGTCCAAACTGGATTTCTGTGCTGCAGAAAAGTCACACTGGTCACACTTGTAGGGTGTTTCTCCTGTATGGGTTCTCATATGTTAAGTCAGACTTGCGAGCTGTCCTGTATCCACACTCCCCACACCAGATGTTGGTCGTAATTCGATTTCTGTACAGCAGAATAGTCACACTGGTCACATTTGTAGGGTTTTTCTCCTGTATGGGTTGCTACATGTGTGGATGATTTGGAATTAACTGCCCTGTATCCACACTCCATATGTAGGGTTTGTCACCAGCGTGGTTCTTAATATGATTATCAAGAGAGGATTTCTGTGCAGCAGAATAGTCACACTGGTCACACTTGTAGGGTTTTTCTCCTGTGTGAGTTCTCATGTGTACAGATAAGTGACACTTGCGAGTTGCCCTGTATCCACACTCCCCACACATGTAGGGTTTCTCACCAGTATGCTTGACTAGATGTTGGTCTAAATTGTGTTTCAGTGCTGCAGAATAGTCACACTGGTCACACTTGTAGGGTTTTTCTCCTGTATGGGTTCTCAAATGTCGGGATAAGTGTGTCTTACGGGCTGTCCTGTACCCACACTCCCCACACATGTAGGGTTTTTCACCAGTATGTTTGACTAGATGTTGGTCTAAATCATATCTCCGTGCTGCAGAATAGTCACACTGGTCACACTTGTAGGGTTTTTCTCCTGTATGGGTTCTCATATGTACGGATAGGTGAGACTTGCGAGCTGTCATGAACCCACACTCCCCACACATGTAGGATCTCTTACAAGCGTTATCCATGATAACTTGTGCTGCTGCCTGATATTCAGCATCGCTTGTTTTGCTGTCACAGTCGACCTGACAAACCCCGCCAGGAGACCCATCAAAGCAGTTTTGACCAACTCCGGTGGGAGACCCATCACAGCAGTTTTGACCAACTCCGGTGGGAGACCCGTGTTCTGCCGTTGCCATGTTCAGCCTTATTGGAAAATAAAAAATTATCAAAAGCGTGATAAACTTAGGTTGAAAAGAGACTCGTTATTATAGGTTTGGTCTGGTCAATCCCGCCATTCGCTGTTTTCACAAATCAATTGTAATGCACGCCTTATTGTTGTTGTTTTTCTTTTCTTTAAAACCTACATGTACGATCATAATGATGATCATTCTGTCATACTCATTTTCACCAAAGCACGAATTAACATATAGAAATTGAATACAATACTGGCAGGACTGATCAAGATATTACAAAAAACAATTTTATTCTAACAAAATGTCTGTACATATAGTAATATTTGAGTAATGAGTATTGAACATTGTTGAGAAAAGAACCTCTTAAAATTAAATGTTATCATCTGAAAGATCATCCAAGTCAGTAATAAAGCCAATAAGCGTGTTCAAGGTACCAAAAAAGGGCATTTCGCGCTGTTGAGTGTAGTTGGGGCAGTGTAGCAAAAAGTTACAGAACCTCTAAGTCGCAATACGCTACTCTCATTACGCAACCCCACATTGCGATTCTTTACAATCATTTTTGTATTTCTCTATCATTCCAAGTCTTCAAAGGTTACTTTGATTGATGCAAATCGACGTACATGTAAGTAGGTAGCGAAGGTCGTACGTATGTTTCGCCCCCCTCCCCCTTCAATTGCACGATATGCACATCCCGAAAATGCCTACAAATTATCGTCCGACTGCGGTTCTTCTTCCACAACAATGGTCTTCAACGATTCCCCTCAACATTAGAATACTTTTCTTCCCGTTTCTAAGCCTTACCTTCTTCCTATGACGGTTTTTCTCTTCACGTAAACCGGAACTCGGGCAGCAAGCTTTGAAGGTAGCAGAACACAGTTTTCGCGCTATGGGGATTTCTATGGTTAAGGACTGCAAGGTGGCCCACTTCAACGCGGAAAAAATTATAATAGGGTGCACTTCAGAAGTACGAAAAACGAATATGTTTGAGATGAAGGTATAACCTACAAAATATCTAAAAACAAAAAAATCCTGTCGGCGTATTGTCTTGTGACGCCCTCTTTGAAATCGCCCTCTAGCGGGGTCAAGTAGACTGCAGCCGGATCACTCGGAAGGCCAGTTGCGTAATCTGGCGTATTTATACACGAACGGGAAAAACTACACAATCCAAATCATACAGTCTGACAGCCGACATGGTTCGGTACCTCACACTGTATTTGACATTTGGCTGCCTCTAGCACAAAACCTGCTACCCAGTCTTCAAGAAGTTTGTACGCACTCTTTTCTATACCCGCGTCATAGACCCCGGGGGTCGCCCATTAATACTGTGTTCTGCTACCTTGAACCAACTTGAACCCTATTTTCTTTTAATTTATACAAGTTAACAACATGTCACAAAGGTGTGTGCCAAATATCTGTATTGTACGGCGGACTTTCGCTGAGATATTCCAACTTTTGTACTTTTTTGAAAATCGCTTCGTCACTCAATCAGGCCCTGTCCTTGGTGCTATAATGCAAGGCAGGCAGACCACATGTACTGATATCTTGAAGTCGTGTATTAAACGTTTTCAAACGGAAATTAACTGTCTTTGTGCTTTGTTGACATCCTTGTTAGGGAAATTCTGCAGTGTATACAGTGTTCTTTGAGTAGGGACAGGAAGAGTGAGTGCGTGTATGTGCGTGTATTTGTGTGTATTTCGGTATGCATGTATGTATGCATGTGTGTATGTATGTATGTATGTATGTATGTATGTATACGTGTGCGCGTGTTTATTCACTTATTCATGAGAAACCATGGGTTCCTGGTGGTTTTCAGGTGTAATGATTGAAAAGAGGTGGGTGCATATGGGTTAAGACTACAGATCTCATTGCGGTATATGCAGCTAGGAGGCCCCCATATGGTTCAGGGCCCGGTGTCATGGGCGATTCTCACGGCCGGCCCCTTTCGCACGTGTTTGTAACACTTTGGTTCACAGCTTGATGTGGATTAATTAGCTAAGATGGTACAACAATAAGCTTTGATGGATCCCATGTCTCTGAGTGGGGCGGGTTGTAGGCGGAGACGGACATGTAACCAATTATACGTCTATTAACACGCACATTGCAAATCTTGCACAAGTTTCGCCATTATCGTTCCACGCTGTCTCAGACCACACTACCTCTATTGCATTTTCCGCCAAAGTTACTTCAACTATGGGGAGAGTGTCTGGCAGGCGAGCTGTAAAAGCTCGGAACCGTCGCCCCCAGACCTTTTTACCTGGGAATACCCCTTGGAACAAAGGTTTGGTAGCAGAGGGGGGACATACGGACGCCGGTGTCTCACCCACGGAGGACGGGGAACCGACAGTGCGAGGGGGACAGACATCATCCACGCCAAGTACTTCGACGATCGACTTGAAGAAAAGGTTGGATGAAAAGACGTATTCGATGTTACACAGACGAGGAGACCACATCCTCCTCCCCTGCCTTCGGAAACGAACGAAGAGAGTGGACTACACAGAGCCGAAGCGGCCGTACACCAACAACAAGGTACTTGGAAACAGGATTGTGAACATGGACAAGTTGGCAGAACTGGTCAATCTTTTCATTGCGGGCCACAGAAAAGCAAACGGAAGGTGTAAGGGCGAGTGCAGGTTCTTAAAGAACTTGGAAAGCAAGCTTGGCTTAGGTGTTAAAGAGGCGCTTTCCTGTAAGGCCTGTGGCTACAAGACAACGGCCACGGAACTGTTCCAGAGGGCCGACACGCGACGACCGGGGGCACGTGGACCGCTTGCAGTGAAGCTCAACATCCAGGCTGTGACACCTGGGGTGAAGGACAGGTATGGTCCTACTGCTCTGAAGCCTCTTTTTGCGTCGCTGGACATTCCAGATCCTGGCCGTACCACCATGCAGAAGAAAATGACGGAAGCAAGTGAGGTGTACGCCGACCTGAACAAGGCGCAGATGGAACAGAACTGCGCTACATTGGCAGAGGTGAAGCGGCATCGTATCGAGGCGGGACTTAGCGAAACTTCTACCATCATTACTGAGAGCGATGCCGCCTACAACAACCCACCAAAGGGTAGGTCAAGGGGACAACCGGGAACTCAGGCGGAATGTCCTACGTTTGAGAAAGAAACGGGCCAGGATATGCTGCTAGCATTGACAACAACAAGTCAGCACTGTAAGGTCTGCGAAAATCGACGACGCAGAGGGCTCCCGACCGGTCCTGGCTCCCATAGAAATTGTACCCAAACTTTCGACAGGACGAAGAAGATGGGTGCTGCCGAATACGAGATGGCAAAGAAGAACACAGAAGCTGTGTTGAAGTGCAGTGGTCTAGCTGCCGGCACGCACTGTACGGACAATGATAGTAAGAACATAAAAGGCGTGAACGACGCACTTCGCGAAGCCGGTCTCCCTCCCGCAGAAAAGCAAGACTGCATCCTTCACCACAAAAGAAACCATCGCGCCAGAGTGTTTCCCTTGGACCTCGAAGTTTTCCAAGGTGGGAACGCGACACAAGAGGACAGGAAGCAGAGAAGTCGCAGGGTAGGGCACTACATTGTTGACAGGTGCGACACTGCACTACGCAGGGTTAGGAAGCTACACCGTGACTGCGACACAGACTTTTTCGACGAGGTTGACAGGTGTATCCGCCCTACTCTTTTAAACTGCATTGCAGGTGATCACTCTGAGTGTACATATGAGACTGCGTGCCCGGAGCACAGCCTAGAACAACATCCAGCTCCAGACATTCCAGCAGGCGGAAACTTGGCCTTGACGAAGGGCGACCGTGACGTCCTCCAGGCTCTCGTGGACTATCGGCTAGCTCCGGAGACAGTGAAACGCCAAAAAGGCTTAATGACGACGAATAAGAGTGAAAGTTTTCACAAACGCGTAACAAAGGCCTGCCCAAAGTCAATGAATTTTCCAACCAACTACCACGGTCGGGTCAATGCCGCTGGCCTGGCGGACTCTATCGGCTCGGGCGCCGCTATCCGACGGGCGAATGAGATGATGGGCGCGTCTCATTCAGATGGGAGTCCAGGGGCAGCTGGACTTGAGGCGATTGACCGGGAGGAGAAGTACCACCAAGACAGAAAGAAGACATGGAAGTACAAAAACAGGCGCTACAAGCTGGGAAAAGCCAAAGCGCACGCCAAGGTCACCAAGTCGGGAGAAGGATACAGCACGGACTGCATGCATCCTATGGTCAGGAGTGACCATTCCTACACCAAAAACTGATCGAATCCAAAGAATGAGAAGGACAACAAAGGTTGAGAAACGGCAGAAAAGACTAGCAAAAGAACTATCAAAAGACTATCCTTTTCCGTAAAGTCGTGAGGGACACCGTTAGGTGGGGAGGTGTGTGTTGGAGGGGGGGGGGTCATGGTAGAACGCAATCCGGGTACCCTTGGTGGGTAACACAGCCGCCATACGCATTGTTAACACAAACCTGTCGAGAATTGTTGACAGAAGCTGGCTCTAGGGACAAGTGTGCCTCAGCTATACAGTGTTTCTGATGACAAAGATGAGATACGTGTAGAGTTGGGTCCAGGAACCCGTGAACTAAGAAGTAAGCAACCCTATGCAGGGCTACGTCCCTGCATTTCGGCCCTATCTGCACGCTGATTCTGCCATAGCCGTCTCTATCTAGACGACCTTGCCATAAACGGCATCCCCTACCACTTGCCGACACTCCTTCAGCTAGTCTCTGTCTTATCTTAGCCTTATAACCTTCGCTCCATGCCGTAAAGTCAGCCATGACTGAGTATGTACCGCTATTGAAGTCCTTCCGTCGACTCGTGAGGTCAGAGGTAAACGCCCTCTGGGTCAAGGGTGAAATTGTTGACCTAATTACCCATGTAGTACATTTGGCGTTAGGTAGCTTCATAATGTCAACGTCCTGATTTAAACCGACCACCCTAACAACGTAACACGCGTCTGACTTTTGTTTCTGATCTGATATAAAAGAGAATTTTGGTTTGGTTTATATCTTGATTTCTGTGTTTTATGATCAAATCACCACCTCTGACAACATTCCATTCAAGGGAAAAAGCAACACAGAAGGAAACATTATGTTCAAGGTATTAATTATGTCAGTGGAAAATATTTGTAGATCTAGATACATCTTCGAAAAAAAACCCTACAAAACAGGAAATTTACTTGTATACAACCTATCGTCTACCTTTTCACTGGGGTATAATTACTTCCTACTTTGGAAACTGAAGCACATCAGTCATTTTACACTGATACAAATCAATACTATTAGCTTTTGGGTTTTATCCTAACAAATCGTAGTGATTTAAAGAGTTGATAGTCACAAGATATAATTGTTTGTAGGACATATATATAGGTAAGTAGGTACACAGGAAATCTAAGCTCGTACACACAATTAACATGTACATTCCAACTACTGTGTACAAACACAGCACTAATGTCTACCTTTCAGCTTCAACTACTGTGTACAATCACTTACCCATGTTTTAATTACTGATAATGTATATGTACATTATCCAATCAATACTATAACGCTTACTATTCTCACTCTACAATTCTAGACATCTAAAATAGATTTTTATATCTGATATTACGACAAAGTATATGGGCTACTAAGCTAAACTAAGACTTATTCTTGTACCTGAATTACAGCCATAACTTAATTAGATTTTAGAGTAAACAAGTATAGGGCTTTTCTTGGAAAAAACACGGCGGTCTGTCACTACGATATTCTTTCCCATTGGTAGGCGCGTTCTAAAAAGTATCGGGTTACAAGACGCTATTTTGGCCTGTTTTGGACTACCCGTAAAACATTTGAAAATAAACAAATAATATTAAGTGGTAAATTTCGTCAAATTGAAATGAAATTATCGTCTTAACATCCTTTAAATGTTAGCTTTTTATGTTAAATCACTGATTTTTTTACAATTTCGCTCAGAAAGACGATTATTTTCGGGTTTCCGAGCACAAGCCATGTCACGTTTTTAGGCATATCTCGTTCAAACCTGGCTACATATATTACCCCAGATCCTCAATTTTTATATTTTTCGCTGACTAGGAATGAGATCAGAAATCGTGTTTTAGGGATTTTTTAATTTCTGATTTTAAGTCTAGTTTTTGTCGACATATTGGTGAAAAAACTGCAATTTTTGACATTTTTCTCACTAAATTACCCATAATTCAAAATTGAGGCCATTTTTCAAAAATCCCTAAAACACGATTTTCGGGACAACCGTTACGGTCATTTTGAGCCGTAAATGGGGTATGTTTGACTCTCCATGTTTCCAGGTTTGAGCGAGTTTTGCAGACATGTCAAATCGCCAGAAAGTGTGCATTGTGTTATTCATAATGGCATGAAGAATCATTACAGTATTCAAGGTCACCCAAGGATACGACAGTAGCTCCGCTACATGTTACATACCCACCAAAACTTATAGCGGACATGTACTGTCCAGGAAACTGTTTGTATCTATAGAAAAGTGTTGTTTTTTATTTGCTGCGAGGCACTCAGGCAGAAGGGCTTGTTTTGGCGTTTTATTGTAAATGACCGCAGGTGACCCCGAAATGGAACGCGGATTCGATTCGAATTGCCCAGATCGAACACGATCGAACACTGTTCGGATTCTATGAAATGTGGGAACTTTTCAGCCCAGCTTTTACCACCGTGAAAACTTTGCCTACTTGCAAACATCATGAATTCTTACAGAATATTCAGCCTAAATCTTTATGAACATAACTGTCATATACACTGGCCTTAGGTTTAGTATCAAGATACAATGTACTAAGTAGCGAAACTGTGGTTAAAAGAAGATTGTGCGTACTAACTTTCACTACAAGATGGTCACAGTTGCAGACTTAGTCCGTATGGATTTTTATATGTCGAGTTAGAGCAGACTTAGAGGCTGAAGAATAGCTACACTGGTCACACTTGTAGGGTTTATCTCCTGTATGTGTTCTCATATGCTTGAATAAGGCTGACTTGTAAACTGTACCGTACCCACATTCCCCACACATGTAGGGTTTTTCACCGGTGTGTTTTGTTAGATGCTTGTCTAAATTGGCTTTCCGTGCTGCAGAATAGTCACACTGGTCACACTTGTAGGGTTTTTCACCAGTGTGTTTTGCTACATGTCGGTCCAAATCAGATTTCCATGCTGTAGAATAGTCGCACTGGCCATGGTCACACTTGTACGGTTTTTCTCCTGTATGGGTTCTCATATGTCGGAATAAAGTAGTCTTTAAAGCTGTCCTGTATCCACACTCCCCACATATGTAGGGTTTTTCACCGGTGTGTTTTGTTTGATGCTTGTCTAAATTGGCTTTCCGTGCACGGCACAAAATCCCTAGTTTCCGTGTGAGAAATTGCCGCACACTTTCCCGGATATTTAAGGTTTCCGGTAGAACCCGGGGGTTTCCGACCTGCACACGAAACGTGTCCAGTCCCGTACATGTCCTGTACACTCCCGGAAATGAACCACTTTTTGTGTGCAGGTCGTGTACTGGACGTTATATGCCCGAAAACGATCCCTGTACATCCCCGTACACGGCAGGAAATGGCCGTGCACCGCTCCGTGCGTTGCTGGAATATGCATAATTTAGCGGCAATTATCACCTAATTATTCTCCACACGGCAGCGGAAATTCGCCGTGTACGGGTCGGACATGCCGGTACTACACCCCCCCCCGGCCAAACCCGCCCCGCTCTCGGGACCGGTTGCTCCCGTTCCCGGGACCCGTTGCTCCCATTCCCGGGGCCCTGCTGTTCCCGTTCTCGGGACCCCACTGCACCCACTACGGGGACCCCCCTTCCTGCTCCCGGGGCTTTGCTGCCCGGCTCCCGAGAAATCGCTTCCCCCGCTCCCGGGACACATTTCGATGTTTTAGGAACACATTTCATTCATAAAAAAAAGTAATACATGTTTATACTTCATTCATCGTTTTATTGGTATAAACAGGATCGCCATTTACAGACTGACAAAAATAACGCTCTATGTATAGTGTATACACGTTATGCACTATGCTAACACTATACAATAATGTAACCTGGTACTTTACAAAAATGTGTAGCCGAAACATAGAAACAATAATAGCTTTTTCCCGAACTAGCCCTCCAGGGACTAGACTTTTAAAATCGTTGGACCCGGTGTAAACTCAGAAATTACTAGTAATTAACAGATTTCTCTAACTTTAAAAGTAAACTAACATCACATCTCATCACAGTCACCTCCAAATAGAAGTCCATTTTAGCAAAAAATGTCAAAAAGTAACTAATACTGACATATCATCAGGTTAAAAGAGGAAAATAGCACTCAGATCATGAAAGTGAATGGCGCTTACACAAACAGTCAAAAGACTAAATTTTCAATAAACAAAGAAGGCCTCAAACAAAGTTCTTCAAAATACATGTACGTGTAGCAAAACATAATGGCAGACCTAACATGAAGTTAAATGAGGCTTGGCAGAAAACAATATCACGTCATTACAAAAAATATCATTTGCTCAGAAATAATTACATGAACACGTATTCAATTTACAATGTCGTTAAAGACAAGCTGTCGGTTTCGTAAAGTTTGCGTTGTCGCCTCTACAAAATGAGGCTTAGTTGTAGATTGAAGGCCAGGAGGTATGCCCCCCCCCCCTTGCTTCAGGGGACCATAGCGAAATGTTTTCATCCTGGAAGGACAAACTGCCCCATGTCTGTCTGCGGGATGGCGTGGTGTTGGTGTCGGTTGTGATCGCAGTCAGGCCGGAGCGGCGTGCTGGGCGCGGGGTGCACCCCGGGCGGGAGTGCAGCGGGGCCGGCCTGGGTCGTCGGAGCCTGCCGGGCGCTTTAACACAGCACCCTCGCCTTTAGATCTGAGCCTGGGTGTGCAGTCTGCCTGTTTGCCTCCAGCCTGGCCTGCAGGACATGGAAAAACGAAAATCTAAGTCAAAAGTCGAAGGCATTTTTGAATTTCATTTGAAGTTACGTGTACATGTACTAGACGTTTTATAAACAAGCCTGGCAAAGATGCGGACGTCTGTATAGACACATTTCGAGAAGTCATTTATCATTTTTAACGAATGTTTTTAACGTCAGACAGCAACAATTTTGTCCAGATGAAAAGGCTCCATTCATCAAGCATCAACGTCTACTTGTTTCTTTTCATTGTAATCATGGGAACAATACAAACACAACATTTCCCTCGGTAATGAAAACAATTCAAATTGTCAAGAGCCTTGTCGGCCTTCGTATGCAAAGATATACATTTGCATAGACTCACCCTCTTCTGTGTGACTGCAGTCGCTTTTCTTTCTTTCTTTTCTGAGCTCTCCGACAGCCTGGCGATAAAGTTTCTTCAAATCGTCTCAAAGTATCCCAAATCCGCGCCTGAAAAAAGTACATATGTTTTGAGCAACATACAAACTATATCGATGTACTTCTAAGTAGAAATAATAAACTATGTTATTAATCAGTAAAAAAATAGTGTACACTTCTTGCCAAAATAAATATTTCTGCCGTAGGCACAACTTAGCCAAGGTTTTTAAACAACATGTTTAAGATATATGTAACGATAGTGCCGTATACATAATAGTATCCTTGTTTTAGCTTACCCTTCCTCCTGTCGGTTTGCTGGTTCGTTGCGGTGTTGTCCTTTCAATGTAGTAGAGTCATTTCTTCCGTTGTGAAAACGAAGTAACAGAACGGAATGTTTGACGCCATTTTAGTTCAGGAACATACTAGTAATCTTTGCAAGCCGAGACAAACGTGTTTTGAAAAAGCAAACCGTCGTTGTGACAAAGCAAGATTCAAACGACACACCAAAACAAAGCATCGCGTCTCTTATTGGCTGGTCCCGGCGAGAGCGAGGTAGGATTGGTCGTCAGTCATATAATCACGTGATCGCGTTCAATACTACAACCATCTTGTTTTTATATTATAGGTTTTAAGTTAAATCGCCTGTGCAGTCTGAACACTTGGATGATAGGATGTTTCTGATTGTGTGAATGTATTTATTTCAAGGCAGACAAATGATCTTCATAATTCTAATTCGTCATGATTACATGGCTTTATTCGTTCTAGAATTACACAACTTGTCGCTCACTAAGTGAAATAAAACCGCACTTCAACTCCAACATAACCTTACTCTTTGTAAATGTATCCAAAATCCACAATTAATGTCATGAGGGTTGACTTGTTTTGCTGGATTTCAGTATTTTACCAGGCATGGGGACGCTGTGAGTTCTCCCTTTGTTTACACAAAGGCTATTCACATAAACGGACGCCATGTCAGACACATCGCAATACACATCGACCGAACTACAATGTAAAGCTTGCATATTATTACCCATACATGTCCTAAAAATCATACAAACTGATCAAACCCCTTTAGTCAAGCGTTTGATTACATCATGGTAATGAACCTCACGGATAAACTATTATTTCCAAATAAAAAAATTCAGATTTAGACCGGAGTGTAGATTTAGGTCATTTTGACCGAGTAGGTCATATAACCCCAGCGTCGGGGCGCCCTACGCTCAAATGTGCTTTGTCGTGTGGACGACATCACGACAAATCAAGCCAAGGACGCATAGGTTCAAATGTTGTATTAACAATCCTTGATCATTCTATATCTAATTTGCTTAGATTAAAGTGCTGGCAACTTTGGTTCAAGTAATTATCACCTGAAACATGAATACACGCAGTACCTAATTACCCCTTATTGTTAGCCGCTCCCCAACACACGCCAAGTGTGCGGGGCGTAAATTCCGTGCACGTGCACGGCGAGCACGAATCCGGGAGTGTAAGGAAATATCCGGGGCCGTACACGCGGAGCCCGGAAATCCATGGACGCGACCAGGACACGGCGAATTTCACGAGCGTGTGCGGGACTGGAAACTCTTGGAAACGTGGTTTTTCATACAGTGGTGCTGCAAAATAGTCACACTGGTCACACGTGTAGGGTTTTTCGCCTGTATGACTTCTTTTGTGTCGGGTTAAGCTGGACCTCGCAGCTGTCCTGTACCCACACTCCCCACACATGTAGCGTTTCTCACCAGTGTGTTTATGTGCTTTATGTTCATCTAAGGTGGATTTCCATGCAGCTGCATAGTCACACTGGTCACACTGGTATGGTCTTTCTCCTGTATGGGTTCTCATGTGTATGGATAAGCGGTGCTTTTGAACCGTCCTGTACCCACACTCCCCACAGATGTAGGGTTTCACGCCGGTGTGTATAGCAAGATGGATGACTAAATCATATTTCCTTGCTGCAGAGTAGTTACACTGTTCACACTTGTAGGGTTTTTCTCCTGTATGGATTCTCATATGTATGGATAACTGAGAATTGTAAGTCGCCCTGTATCCACACTCCCCACACATGTAGGGTTTCTCAACAGCGCTATTCAAGTTGACTTGTTGTGCTGTCACCTGGCATTTAGCATTGCTTGTCTTGCTGTCACATTCGAGCTGATAAACCCCAGTGGGAGACCCATCACAGCAGTTCTGGCCAACTCCGGTGGGAGACCCGTGTCCTGTCGTCGCTATGTTCATTCTAATGAGAAAAATCAAGAAATTATACAGATTAAGCGTTAAAATTATTTAAATAATGATAATGATAAAATTGAATTTTTACTAAACAAGGTTCAAAGAATTTTACTTCACTAAGCTAAATACAATTTAACCTAACGCATGATACGCACTACAACGTAACCCAACATAATTCTAACGTGTTGTCTTTCTCGCATTTAAATAAATTTGCTTCCATAAAGCTTAAAAATCATAAATTATGAGATATTACAATCACCCACACTCAGAACATTTTATATCGTGTTATTTATTACTTTTCCGACTACGAACGATGGGTAAAATGACTCAATTCGCTAGGCCGGAAAGAGAGTTGGCAGTATAGCCTTATATAGGTTTGGTCACCAGGCTTCTCTATTTACTGTTTCCACAAATCAGTTCTACGCGTTTCCAAATTTGTAATTTACGCCTTATGCGATTCTCAGCAATCCAGTTAACATTTTTATATTATTCTCTCAAAAAGGCCATATTGCCTGATGCAAATTGACGTACATGTAAGTGGCGAGGGTCGAACGTATGTTTGGTTTCGCCCCCCTCCCCGTTTAATTCCACGATATTCACATCTCGAAAATGCCTACAAATTATCGTTCTACTGCGACGCTTTTTCCACAGAAATGGCCTCAAACTATTCCACTCGACACCAGAGTACTTTTCTGATCGTTTCTAAGTCTTACCTGCTTCCTATGGTGGTTCTTCTCTTCACGTAAACCGGAACTCGGGCAGTTTTGACGTTCTGTCGTCTTGTGAGGTCAAAGGTGAACGCCCTCCGGGTCAAAGGTGAAATTGACGACTCCATTACCCATGTAGTACATTTAAAGTCAGGGGGCACGTTATGTTTTCTTCTTAATGTCAACATTCTGCGTTTGAGCGACCACCTTACAACGTAACACGTGTCTGACTTTTATTTCTGATGTAATATAAAGAGGGAAATATTTTTTAGGAATAACAGTCAAGCCAAACTGTTTGGTCTGGATCTTGATTTCAGTGTTTTATGATCAACTCACCACCTCTGATACAGTCCATCCGAGAAAAGAAGGCAACACATTAGAAAACATTATGTTCAAGGTACATAATGATTTAATTGTGTTAGCAGAAATTATTTGCACATATATAAATAAAAATACATATTACATATAGCTTCTTATATATATATGTCACAGGGGAGATTGGAATCCAGGGGAATCCGGAACTCCCCTAGGGGAGACTGGAATTCTCCTAGGGGAATCTGGAATCCTCCTAGGGGAGATTGAAATCCTGATATTCTGATCCCAGATTAGTAGTAGAAATACTAGAACTCATTCTTTTTCTGCCCAACACTGCTGATATGCTCTTCAACCAATCTGTAGAATTCTGCTTTCTGCTGCTGTTCATCCTCCGCCATGACTTGATCAGTATGCTGTCACTTTGACTGGCTTGGCATGGGGAACAATCCCTTATATACCAAGTCACTAACTAACTGGAAAAACTGGTTTTGATTCACTATCTCACAATGGCCTGATGCAAATATCTGAGTCTGATTTACATATTCACTTACCTATGCTGAATTTGATTGAAAGTTTAGGTGTGAAATAATTCAGTCTATTTTCCAAAGCATTTTGATGCAATCAGAATTTCTCCTTTTAAAATTGGAGATTGTAATA